TCGATTACAAAATCTCAAAACAGAAGGAATGGATACAGAGACATTTCCCTTCATTAAGACAATGTGGTTAATGATATCAATGATTATATCACAAAGTTGATTCCACGTACTTAGGTTCACTATTACTATATCAAATCAATCATTTCTATATTTGTAAATCTATTACAATTTCATACTAATTATTGATTTTCTATTGAATGAGAAGAAAATGAATATTAAGCAATGATTCAATTTACAGGTTTGAATCTACTGACTTTGATGCATTTGAACTCTTAAATCCTGATTTCTTGAATTATCTTAAAACATCAGGGTTGTCAAATAATTCCATCAAGTTGAAAATCAACACAACTATTATGTTGTTGTGTAATTTAGACCAATCTGAAGGATTATACAATGGTACAAGAATTATTGTCACCAAGCTTGCAAATCATGTCATCGAGGCAAAAAACATTTCTAGAAAAAATATTGGGAATATCATTTATATTTTGCGGATGTCCATGTCTTCTTCAGAATCACCTTGGCCATTCAAATTGGTAAGGAGACAATTTTCCATTATTATCTTATTTGCTATGACTATTAACAAATCACAAGATCAATCATTAGACTTTCTTGGACTATACATGCCGAAAAATGTTTTTATCCATGGTCAGCTATTTGTCACAATTTCTAGAGTGAAAAGCAAATATGGTTTTAAAATATTGATTCATAACAAGGATAAACATTGTTTAAAAACTATAACTAATGTAGTTTTCAAAAAAAAAATATTTCACAACATTTAATTGGTAATAATTTACATATGTTTCCGCTATATTTACTATTTCTTGTTTTCCTACTAAATATATATTTTTTTTGTGTGTTTTCATGGATATAACTCTATCATGTGGTGTTGAATATTGGCTGAACTTTTTCTAATAATCCAAATATACACCAACTACATCAGAATAATGAAAAACTTACTGCACTTTTTCTCAGCAAATTGGAGGATTGTACTATCTAACTTGCGGGACAAAAACCATGCTCGAAAAAAGTACCTGTTCAAATCCAACTGCACACTAATACAAAGTTTATATGTGCAATCGTACCAAAGAGCTATATTCTTTCGTAAATTATAATCTTTTTATTAGTAATTTATTCATTGTCTTTTATACATGATTTGTCAAATAAAGCACTTCCTAAATGTTGTTAAGTGGAGAATAAGGAATGTTTTATATAGTTTATATTTTATTCAATATAATTAAAATCAATGTTTTAAAAATTAGATCGGAAATCGAAACGGTGAAACTTACTATTTAAAGTTCACTTAGTTAAATTGGTTAAATTTATAGTCGAACTGTTTACTAAATAAACTAGTAATATGAAACTAAATTTTATAGATATGTTACGCATTATTATATGTTATTAACTTAATAAATGAAATATTTCAAAATTCAATTATAAATTTAATGCAACAATATCAATAAGACATAATATAATATAGTTCTACACTTCATTTCAATCGTCATTTAAGAATATTTTGGCCAAACTAAAGAGTTACAATAAAATAAATTAAACTAATTTAAACCAAAATTAAAATAATATAATATAATAAATAAAATAAAGTTTAAATAATTAAAAATGTCTAAATTAAATAAGATAAAATACTAAAATATAAATAATACAATATATTTCATTAAACAATAAAAAATTAAATTCGAGTTAAATCACGACAAACAAGTCTTAATTGACAACAACAAACAATATTGACTTGAGCGACATTCAATAGAGTTGGACATCGTAACTATGGAAAGAGATGGCATGATGATGGAGTGTGGTTGAAAGAAAAACTATAATAGAGTGACAAAATTTAGAAGTTTGTATGGTTGTGAAAAACACACGGAATTCTTTTTGTTATTAAGAAATGAATGTTAACTTTTGATATTAATATATTAAAAAAAAATTAAAAATTAAAAAAATTGTCAATTTGATGAAATTTTTTGAACCGGACGGTTTTACAAAATTGACTCCTGTTCTTTGGTTCGAACAGTTTTGAACGGTTCAATTTGATTTTTTCGGTTTAACTTTGATTTTGATTTATTAACAGTTTTAAAAGATTGACTCAACCGAATTCATCTCTGATTTTCGGTCTAACCAATAAAACCGACCGGTTCGATCCAATTTTTTAAAAATCAATTAAAATACACTGCAATTAGGTACGGTTTTTGCATATAGTTCCTTTTTGTACGACACTTTGCCTTGATTACAATCAGTATATTCAATACACTTTTTAGATTTTAATTTAATTTAATACTTATTAACTTTTATAGTTGTTAGGAAGTTAAAGTGTAAGTTTATGTTATCTCAAATCAATTAAACTTGAAAGGCTTTATGTATCTAGATTAGCAATCTCAGATCATGTGAAAATGTTGAATTTATACTTTATCATTATTGTTCTGTTTCATTAATTTTTTCTTAACGCAGGAAAGTCCACTATATATTTGATATGGTTATGGGAATCTTATTAGTAATTAATTGATTGATTTGCGAAATATTGGGTTAAGTATATTATAACACAATTAAATAATTTATTTTAAATTTATATGTATATTTAAATATATTTTACACCAATTAAATAAATTTATCATGGGGCCGTATATATATCTTATTAGTATTATATATAAGAAACTAAGTAAATGTCACTTTTTCTATTATTCGACTCGTAAATTTTGTCATTGCAAATAAGATCTTAAAACAAACTTGAAGAAAAAAAAATAATCTTCGTATGACTGAAAAACATTTAAGAGAGAGGGTTAGTCTTCCTTCAAATAATAGATTGAAGTGATTAGTTCCTTCCAAACAGCAGGCTGAAACAGTTAGCATTTATGCCAAACACAAACTTGAAGAAGTTAGTCTTCAAGTCAAATTGAAATTTTCTATGAACTTATCTCGAACCAAATTAGAGTTTTGAACATGCTTTCCTCCAAACCTAATCGAGGTTTTGAACCGGATGACCACGAACCAAGCTAAGGTTATGAAATGGGCTGATCTTGAACCGTATTAAGCTTTTAAACCAGGATGAGCTTGTGAATCAAACAAAAGTTTTGAACAGACTAACCATAAACCAAATTGAGATTTTGAACTGAACTGATCTCGAATCGAAGTAACATTTTAAAGGGTTGAGCTTACAATCCGAAACTATGGCTTAGGAACTTAAATATCTAAACAAAGATTTTAATAGTTTTAGATTTTGACACCAAACAAACACTATCTTAAGGATAATTATTCAATAAAGAAAAAAACACTTCTTAGTGAATTTATAATAATACTCTTTATAAAATACAAACTTCCTCACCAAACACAAGAAGTGCTAAAACTAAATTAAAGTGAAAAATGTTTTTGTGTGTGTGAGAGAGAGAATGTGTATTAAGAGTGAGATAGAAGGATCACGTTTTTTTTATGTGAAAATGTGAATGGAGAGACATATATTTATAAGTTTTAGGTTGACACAAGATGTAAAAGCTTCATGGGTCAAAATTAATGTGTCAATAAATTGGTTTCTCTTCTCAATCGATTCGAAGCCCAAAATTAATCAATTACAAATTCTCAAAACAGAAGGAATGGATACAGAGACATTTCCCTTCATTAAGACGGTGTGGTTAATGATATCAATGATTATATCACAAAGTTGATTAGTTTCACTATTACTATATCAAATCAATCATTTCTATATTTGTAAATCTATTACAATTTCATAATAATTATTGATTTTTTATTGAAGGAGAAGAAAATGAATATCTAAGTAATGATTCAATTGACAGGTTCGAATCTATTGACTTTGATGCATTTGAACGCTTAACTCCTGATTTTTTGAATTATCTTAAAACGTCAGGGTTGCCAAATAATCTATCAAGTTGAAAATCAACATAACTATTATGTTGTTGCACAATTTAGATCAATACGTAGGATTATGCAGTGGTACAAGAATTATTGTCACCAAGCTTGCAAATCATGACATCGAGGCAAAAAATATTTCTGAAAAAATTATTGGAAATATCATTTATATTTTGTGGATGTTCATGTCTCCTTCACAATCACCTTAGCCATTCAAATTGGTAAGGAGACAATTTTTCATTATTGTCTCATTTTCTATGACTATTTACAAATCACAAAATCAATTATTAAACTTTGTTGAACTATACATGCAAGAAAGATATTTTTAGTCATGGTCAACTATGTGTCACAATTTTTAGAGTGAAAAGTAAAAATGATCTTAAAATATTGATTCATAGCAAGAATAAGCATTGTTGAACAACTACAACTAATGTAGTTTACAAAGAAATATTTCACAACATTTCGTTGGTAACAATTTACATATGTTTCCACTATATCTACTCTTTCTTGTTTTCCTACTAAATGTCTTTTCTGCGGGTTTTCATGGATGTAACCTATCATGTGGTGTGGACATATTGGTTGAACTTTTTCTAATAATTCAAATATACACCAACTACATCAACATAATGAGATTACTGCACTTTTTTCTCAGCAAATTGGAGGATTTGATTATTAATTTTTATAGTTTTTAGGAAGTTAAAGTGTAAGCTTATTTTTCTTATGTTATCTCAAATCAATTAAACTTAAAAGGCTTTATGTATCTAGATTAGCAATCTCAGATCCTGTCAATATCTAGAGTAGCAACTAAATTGCTGGTTCAAAATATTGTCAAACTCTTATTAAATTAGCATTTTCAGATCCTGTCAAAATGTTGAATTTATACTTCATCATTTTTGTTCTGTTTCATTAATTTTTTTCTTAATGCAGAAAAGTAAGTAAATGTCACTTTATCTATTATTCTACTTGTAAGTATTGTCATTGCAAATAAGATCTTAAAACAAACTTGAAGGAAAAAACAGTAACTTCATATGATTGAAAAGCATCTAAAAACCAACATTTGAGAAGTACTAGATAACCCATAACAAACTATAGTCCTAAAATTGAACCTTAATGAAATTGACATAACAACAATCTTAACTTGTAATCTTGTAGAAATTGATTGAATTTCGTGCAAAGAGGTCTTTTGCAGCTTCCACAGCCTCCGGAACAGTGAGATCGCCGTCAATGCACGAGTCACACAGAACAGTGAAAACAACTTTGCGAGCATTTTTCGCACCTGTCACAACAAATCTCGTGATTCTAACCGGTAATCTGTACTATATTAATCTTTACTATAACATAATAATTGATATTAAACCAACCTAAGTAGAAGAGTTCGGGAAATGCATAAGCATCAGTACTAAACATCACCTGCAATAATACAAAGTTTATTCTTTGTAAGACATGAATGAGAATTTAACAAAAGGTAAAAAATAACATTACTCTTTGAATTTCTTATACTTTCTCACCTTATTTAATGGTGCCTGCTCTAAAAGATCTTTGACTGCAGAAACCATGCCATGTACACTAAGCTTTGGAATAGCCAACCCAAAATCAAGGTAAACCTGAATAAGAAGATTTTGTGATTTTTGCTCTATAATTCAAATGCAAATATAAATTCGAACAAACTAATGTTTGTGTTCGGGTTGTAAATTGTTTGCCTGGGAGTAGAGAGAAGCTAGATATGATGCTTCCTTTGAGAACGGATATGATGTATGTAAAAGAACAATCCTGCACTTTGCGAATCTCTTGTCCTCAAGAACATTGTGGAGATAAAGAGGATTCGACATTCTCAGATTCAAACCTCTATCTCCAAATCTGATTAATTTTAGAAACAAAAGTTTATGGGAAATTAATTCACATAAAAATACATAGACACCAATAAATGTAACAGTGTAAGCAATTTGAAAGCATGCATTAATTACCCTGTGTGTATCTGCATTGGCAAGTCATGTGATTGAGCAAATTCTAAACTTAGCAAGAAGATGTAATCAACCAGGTTCTTGTTTGCTACCAAGACAGGCTTCCAAACTGAATTATAAAAATAATCATCAGAAATATTAATACTATGGTTTTTTATTTATTTATCCACAACCGCAATTGCAGCTGTAATATTGTTGATACGATAGTCTCTGCAATCACATTGAACCATAATTGCGGAGTTATTTAAAATTACGTGTCTGGCCACATTAGGAACTACTTCTACTTCATTTCATATTTCTTCGGAATTTTCATCAAAACTCAAAATTTTAGAATCTGAAAACTCAATTTACTTTTTGATGATGTAATGAAATCATTACATTAAGTACTTTTCAAGGGTGTACTTCAAATACTTCCCAATCAAAATTCACGCTACAACGACTGCAATCCGCATTGCAACAACTACAATGATCGCAATCGCAACACCTGCAACCGCAACCGCGTCTGCGACCGCAACAGCAACTTAAAACCATAATACCATAAAATGTATAAATAATGATGCCGCTTTTCATTTTTTACTAACCTGCTAACACCTGTTGCAAAGCCTCTTCAGCTTCCTTTTTAGTGACATTTATATTGATATCTAAACCAAAGTAGTATGCTGCTATGCTTTTTAAACCAACTATCTCACCAGCAACTGTAACATTCATCATGTTAAGGAATTCTACTAAAACATTCAACTTTAGATTTTTTTTTCTACAACTAAGAACTAATTTTGTGTGTGTGTTTGAGTAAAGAGAGATAGAAACTTTTTAAGGATATGATTCCAACTTGGATAGAAATGCAGTAGTGAATGATTCCAGTGTCCAAGAAGATCCATCTGGCAAACCCTTCATCAAGCATTCAAGTATAAATATAAGGCAATACTGATACGTTATTCACCTTTACACCGTGCCGACAGCAATCAACCTTTACGCGACCGCGACCGATATTTAAAATCATTTTAAAGTTTATGCAAATGAATTAGGAGAGATTGTGAATAAGAATCTCACTTGATTGAGGATTTTCTCAGCAAGGCGTTCAACTCTTACGAGTGTAGCAACATGAGGAGTAAAAGTCTTGTGCCATTCAGTATCGATTATTTTGTCCAAATCAATTCCATCATCGAAGATCACTGTAGAGATTCTTGCAGCTTTGAAGCATGTTGAGGTAATAGATTCCAATCCAGAAACTCTTCTGTGTTGTTCAACAGCTTCCAAAGTTGAGTCGCATCCATACAATTCAGCTATATCTCTTAGATTTCTCTGACATAGCCCCACCATCAATTAAAAAAATGCATAGAATCTTATTTTTTATTTCTTTTCAACGATCAACTCACACATGTATAATTTTTGTGTTTATCTCTTAAAACCAAGTATTCAGTTTCTTCTGCAAAATGAATCTAATGTAAAACAACTCCAACTAAAAAAGAAGAGGATGTTTGTTATTACCTTGAAGGATTGAGAGTGCTGTGTTGAAGCAAGAGCATCACCATGAGCAAGAGAAAAAGCATGGATGAAAGCAAAGTTGGAGTCAAGTGCAACTAAGTTGTGAGCATGACCATCCACAATTTCCATCTCCTCAATCGTTTTTTTCAACTCACTGAAATCCATTCTCTCTCCCTTTCTCTCTCTAACTCTCTTTTCGCATGTATTTAAATTTAGTCACACCTTAATTATACAGCTATGCTCTGAACTCAAGTCAACTCACTATTCTTTATATTATTTCTTTTCTTTCTAACTTACACTAATTTCTCATTTGGTACTTATTATTAAATCTGGCAAAACGGACCGGATCAACTGGCTTACGCTAAAAAAACTTCAAGTTTAAACAAAAGAAAAAGTCTATTTGTTATTTAAATTTTTAAGTCCGAACCGGTTAAAGTCGGTTGTTTAATGGAATTAGTTTGAATGAATAGCAGATAGAATTTTTATTTTATTTTTTTAATGAATTTTAGATTTTATTGTTAATTTAATTATAAAATTTACTCTTGCTATTGAGATTTTACTTTGATTTGAATTCTTGTTCAAATAAAAATTTGATTTGAATTCTTGTTCAAATAAAAAGGATAAACAATATAACAAGCGAAATATTATAAGTTATATTTTGGTGTTTACGAGATTATTATTATTTTCTAAGTGAAATAAGATATTATTTTAATGCATTTTTTTATGTGAAACGTTATAATGTTATAATTTAAAACTATTGTAAAATTAGAGTATGGTATGTACAATATACTAATAGTATTATATTCTTTTTTAAATAACAACACTTATTTTTTAATTTTAAAAAATTAAAATTATAAATATAAATCAGGCCGTCCTAAAAAATTATAGCATGTGAAGGGCCGGACTTGATCAATTAAATTGTGGTCTGTTAATAACTCAACTCACACAAAGTCCGAATCTATTATGGGTCAGCCTATTATGAATGGGATAGTCTATTTTACCAACTCTATTTATTATAATAATAATAATAAATCATAATTAATGTATATATTTTTCTTTGGTGTCTTACATTAGTTTCAAACTAAGGATATTTTATATAGAGTTTCAATTATTGAAATTCGGTTTATCACATTTTCTTCTTTCTTCTTAAATATTTATTTGAATATATTAATCACTAAGTCAATAACATAAACACTACAAGAAACATTGTATTTTTTCAAGTGATCCCACGTCACTAAGTTAAAAATCACTTCACTAATCACTATTTGCGACGTGGGAGAAATACGCCGGAAATGCAATGGTGGAAACTTTTTCCCACGTGAAAAACACGTCACAAAGTTGTGACATATAAACCACGTCGCAAATGACAAAAAAAGTAGAAAAGGTTCCCACGTGAAAACCAAGTCACTAATTAGTGACGTAAAAATCATGTGGGAACTTTACCTTTACCAAATTGGTCTGCACGATTGGCTGACACAAGTTGAATTATTTTCCCATGTGATTCCCACGGCACTAATTAGTGACATGGGATGCACTTCACTATAAAATTTAATAATAATAAAAAATAAATAATATTAATTGAAAATAATTATAAAATTAAAATAAATATTAAATATTAAATTTAAAATAAAAATAATTTTTAATTAAAATAATATACATTAAAAATATATACATAATTAGTCACATGAAATTCACGTCACAAATACAAATAATAATAATAATAATTGTCACGTAATATTCACGTCACAAATATAGACAATAATAAAAAAAATTATTCCTCGTCACTAAATGATACATCTTCGTCTTCTTCATCATCTTCGGCAGAATAATTCAATTTTGAGGCAAAAAACTTTCGCATTTGTGTCTCCATGTCTGATTGCCGCTTCCTCATTTCCTCTATTTCAGCATTTTGTCTATTTCTCATATCATCCATTTCGGCCTTTAGGGTCGCCTCACATGTCTCCACCTCTCGTCTCGCCTCAGATAGAGCTAACTGTCTCACTGTTGCTAACATTTCTGGTGTCAATTCTGCCGGACGCGATCCTCCTTCCCCATCATCGAGTCTTTGAAATAATGTTCGGTCCCCTTTTCTATATTCGCCAGCCAAAGACCCCAGACCAAAAAAACATCCATTGACTCTCTTCCCGCCTATTGTTAAATTCCAAATATAAAGATCAACGCGTGGATCAAGCGGTGCATCCCCAATCGGCGTATATTGAGGATTTTCAGTTAGAAATTGGGCAAGCAAGGTCTGGTACAACTCCTACACACACATTAAAAAAATTAAATTAAATATAATTTAAACAATTTAATTATATAGTAATTTTGAAATTAAAAGAATTCAACTATAATTAACAAGTTACCAAGGTTGATTTGGAACGACCGTCAACAAAGTCCCCCGATTTTTTGGTTCGGGTCTTCACAAATAGCTCATTAATTCGTGGCTCCCTCCCCAAGTCCTTTTTCTATTTAAAATAATGAAGCTTAAGTAAATAAATAATAATACAAAATAAAACTTAAAAATAGTTATAATTACCATTCGTCGACGATGTTCGCCGATACTGATACTTCCAACTGCACTAAGACAGCCACCTGCTTTAGATGCCCTCATCTTTTTAGCATGTTCAGATCTTCTCTGAAAATCTTCTGTCTTCCACCACTCAACAAGTTCACCAAATATTTCCTCGCCTATCCAGTTATGACGAGTTTGATCTCTTTCCCAACGTTGTCTAGCATTCCTGAGCATGTCAGATAATCTGCTAGATACCTTACTTTTGAATTTTTTTTAATTTTGAACTCGTCAAATTTATGCCAAGTACACCTTTCCTGCAAGTTATATGACAGTCAAATAAAATGTTAGACATATATAACAAAAAATCGTTATAAAATAACATAACTATAATAAAAATACAATTTACCTTGAATTTATCAAACCATATATCTTTCTCAGTATTTGGGAGCTCTCCGAAAGACTTAATGAGTTTTGTATGCATCAATTGAATGACCCAGTTTACAACTTTAGCAACAGGACGACACGAATCAAAACTAAACAACAATAATTTGAACGAGTATTAAACATAAAATGACAATATATAGCTAAATAAATATTATAAATTAAAAACATACCCAGATCCCTCAGGCCTAATCAGATGTCGTCCTTCAACCACCAAATGCTCCTCTGCAACAGGATTTGTCTGCTCCTCATGAACATCGTCATCCCCCTAAACAGTGTGGTCATCCTGCTGCTGACGAGCAGGTATATGTGTGGGGTGTGGAATGCGGGAACCAGATCCCTCTGGCTAGTGCGTGGAGGGTGTCGGCTGAGGAAAACTAGATCCTGAAGGCTGCGGCGTGAAGGAATACTGCTGAGGAAAAACAGATCCCCCAGGCTGTGCGAAGTGAGTCTGCTGAGGAAAACTAGATCCCCCAGGCTGCGGCGTGAAGGAATACTGCTGAGGAAGAAAACTAGCTCCCCCAGGAAAACTAGAACTTACACGTTTTTGTTTACGGTTAATGGCTTTACTACGAACTTGATATCTCGGACTCTTACAGAACTTACATTCCTCCAGCGCCTCATCATTAATACCAAACTCATTGTCTTAAAACAGCATACATCCTTTTATGCAACAATCAATCTTTCATACTTCTAAACCCAACTTCGACACCAACCTCTTTGCATCATAATAACTTGTAGGCAAGTTGTCTTTCGTAGGAGTCGCATCCAACATCATTTTTGCAAAGTATTCCAAACACTGATCAGGAACATTCCAATTTGACTTTGCGGCCAATAATCTCACACACATTGATAATTTTGAATCTGCTGACTCCTCAAACAACGGTGTATTCATTTCTTTCAACAATTGGTAAAACCTTTGTGCTTCCTCGTTCGGCAACTCTTCCCCATCAAAATCCTGAGGTTCATCATATGTCACATTTACTCCAAATGCATTTCCAACCATTTCATCGATCAGATTAAATTATTCATCAAATTCAATATGTGATCGACTGCTTGATACGTGTGTATTAGTTGTCTCTGCATGTACGTTACTCGGCAGTTGTTCTCCATTATATGTCCAAACCCAATAATTTTTAATGAAACCCTTCCTCTTCAAATGACGTTCTACTTCCTCTGGATCACTAATTATAGGTCTACATTCACATTTAAGACAAGGACATCTCACCCCTCCCTCACGTCGACAACATTCTTGTGCAAATGCCCACGCGATAAACCCCTTAACTCTGCCCTCAAATTTTGGTGTAAGTCCAAGTCTGCCTGGTAACTTTCTATCGTACATCCAACTACGATAGTAACAAAAATATTCCATACTGCAGAAATTTGTACTATCATTATATATTATTTTAATAAAATATGTAATTTAAATCTTTTTTTTCTATTTCGACACCAACTTACTAAAATATGTTCACTAAAATAATATAAATTCATTATTTTTAAAGTATAATATATATTCATTATTTTTAAAGTATAATATATATTCATTATTTTTAAAGTATAATATATTCATTAAAGTATAATATATATTCACTATATTTTTTTAAAGTATAATATATATTAATTATTTTTAAAGTATAATATATATTCACTAAAATAATATATTATACTAATAATAACATATTTAAAGTATAATATATATTCATTATTTTTAAAAATCTATTTTTAATAATTGAATGTGTAAAAATAATGTATAAAAATAATGTATTAAATGTGTTATTCTGTTTTTAACATATTTACTAAAATAAAATAATATATATTATACTAAATCTGTTTTTAATAATCTATTTTTAAAAATCTATTTTTAAAAATCTGTTTTAAAAATCTATAATATATATAATTTATTTACTAAAAATAACACATTTAGTACATATTCATTATTTTTTAATAAAAATACTTTTTCAAAAAATAATACATTTAAAAATAACACATTTTAAATATAATACATATTCTTTATGTTTTTAAAAAATATATATTAATTTTTTCTATTTACAATATTGTTTACTAAAAATATTTTTAAAAATTCTATTTTTTCTAACATAATAAATATTCTGTTTTTACAAATTAAAAATACATAACATATTTAATTTGTTTATAGTATATTATTTTTGTTTCTTATAAAGATTCTATTTTTCTAATTTGTTTCTAATAACAT